TGAATGAAATATACCCCCACCCCATTCCCCCACCACACACACACACAAGAAGACAAAGTTATCTATGCTTCAAATTACTCCATCTCTATCTATTTTCTGTGTGGAAAGTAATATCCACTAGAGAGAAGCCCATCAATAACCTTTGCACCTTCCATCAATGACTTTATATCCTGGACAAGTCAAGCATGTAGTTGTTTATCTGCTACCCAGTATTTTACTAAATTCACTGAAAATATGTCTGACTAATAAGATGAAGGGGTAGAAAAGAAACCAGAATAAAAAGATAGGTATCAAACTGGCAACTTTGCAAATCTTTTCTTTGATGATTACTTTTGATTGGTGTTTACGTCGTCACCTGAAAGCTGGCTTTATAAGTGCCAGATGGTTATGATCAGAGTGGGATTTGTAGACAAAAAAAGCAAGCTGTTATAATGTTAAGTCTGCCCAATTTTCCATCAGCACAAACAACACATTGACCTCTGCTATTTTTTTTTATCTGCAGCAGAGATTATTTTCAACAAGAAATTAAGCTTTTTTTTTTTTTTCTTTTGAGGAGACTTAGAGCTACTTTCACAGTGTTTTTAAAACTTAGGAAAATTCCACCTGCCACTCTTAAATGTAGTTCCATAAGAGTTGCCTCATTCCAATACTGAGTCATTATTATTATAATAGAGCAGAGACTCATTATCTTCCTAAAGGTTATAAACATAAAATGATAATATTATTTAAAAACCCCAGGAGTAAAAATGTGTCGTCTATTTTATTGTCTTTAAAGGGGGAAATGTCATATCTCTAGAGTAAACTAATCAAGATCAGCAATTGAAAATTTAAAACAAACAAACCAAAAAAGAAGGCATAAAATCTGCCTGAAAAGCCATAAACTATTAAACTTGTTTACTGTATAGAAAATGAAGAAAAATTAAGTTGAGACATGTTTGAGTGGAGAAACCAGTGGGGATTTTATAGTAGTAAAATGTGATTTTCCTTTAAGAAGAAAGTTATGTGCATTTTCCCAATTGCATATCTCAGTATTTTATTTATGTCTTCTTTTATCCATTGGCAAGTGGTGACATTACTCATATTTCTATGAATATATATAGAATTTGAAATAAATGGATTAGGGAAAAGCATCTGACACCAGCATAGTTAGTTCTATAAGTCTTACTGATTAAAATTGAGCTTAGTCCTTATCTATACTTTTATCTTTTTAGAATTTCTTACAAAAGACAGATATTATCTCTTGACATCTCTTGAATCCCTTACATGCTGCTCCTGAAAATTAAATTAGTCTTTCCAGGGGCACCAGATTTAAAATTGCAACTTGCCTCTTCCACTCTAGATCCCCTTTAGGCTGTGCTAAGTTGTTTCCATTGCCTTTAGCCTCCACACACTTAATGGATGTACTTATTATGCTTTATGCTTGCTTTTTTACTCCCTCTACAGGGGGGTGTGGATTGTCACTTTTTGCGGTGTTTGGTGAATCCTAAACACCTGGAAAGTCACCTATGCCTGATGAATTAATGAATGAGAAGAATGCATTTATAGTAATAATAATAGCTTAAAGCTGCTAAGTTACTTTACTATGTACAAACACTGTTCTAATTACTACTGTGTATAAATTCATTTAATCTTCAAATATCCCTGTGAGGTCAATGCTGTTATATAATCTCTGTTCTACTAATGAGGAAATTAAGGTGCATAAAAGTTAAACAACTAGATAGTTACTTAACTAGTTGGTTACTTGACTAATAAGTGCCAGAGTCCGGATACTAACAGAGTCTGTCCTGCTTCTGGGGCTGTGATCTTACTTATTACGCTAAACTGCCTATATTTTGTAGATATAGCCTAATAAAAAACACATATTTTCATAAATAAATAGCTCTCAACCTTTTTAGTGTCTCGATACACCTGAAAGATCATGTTCCACACACCTAGAAAAATGATGCCTTTTAAGAGATCCTTCCCAGGTAAGAGAGAATGAGGATTGGAAGTAGTTTTCTGCTGGCCAACTGCAATGCACCCCCTTTCTGTCTGTCCCCTGACATCACTCTTGACAACCACCACCTTGCTTTGACTTTTGAAAAAGTCTCCAACTTCTCAGGATGTCAGTTTCCTCATTCTAAAATGTGGGTTTAGGACTATAAGCTATCAAATGTCTTTCTCCCTCAAATTCCACGGTTCCGTAAATGTATTTCTGTGCTCAGATGTGCAGGTAAAGTATTGACAGTCGAAAGGGAGAAAAGCCTTTTCCTCTACCAAATGCTGGTCAAGTCCTTTTTATATTTGAACTTTAGCAGAAAATTGCACAAGGTTCCTCAAGGAAATAGAAATTAAATGAAAGTTGAAAAAGAAATTGAAGTTAGAAAAATAATGGCTTTTCCAGAATCCATAATAGCCTTTGGATTTTTGCTACAGCACTGGGCTATATGGACCAGACACTTGAAATTTCTACATCTTTGGCATACCTGACAGTGGATAGTTCAGAGCATGAGTTCTTTCTTGTTTGTTTGTTTACTAGATTATTTTCTCCTTCTGCCTTCTCAATTAGCAACCCTAACTTTGCTACCACCTTTAAAATAAAAAAACTAAAAAAATAATTCCATTATATTGGAAACTTCATATACTGGTAGTGAGAAGTAAAATGGTACAGCCTGTTTGGAAATCAGTCTTGACAGTTTTCTCATAAATTTACACATGGCATTATCATATGACACAGTAATTCCACCTGTAGGTATATGTCCAAGACGAATACACACAAAAACTTGAACATGAAGGTTCATAGGAGCATTGTTCATAATAGCCAAGAAGTGGACATGATTCCAAATGCCCATCAATTGATGAATGGATACATGAAAGGTAGTATGTCTATGCAAAGGAATTTTATTTGGCAACAAAAAGGAATGAAGTACTGATTCATTCTATAACATGGATACATTTTTAAAATTGTGTTGAGTGAAAGAAGCTGATGACCAAATAAACAACATACATTGTATAATGTATTTGAAATATCCAGAAAAGGCACATATATAGAGAGTGGTTGCCTAGAGCTGGGATGGGTTTGGAGGAAATGGGAAGTGACTGCTAATGGACAATGAGGTTTCTTTTTGTGATGATGACAGTGTTCTAAATTTGATTGTGGTGGTGGTTGCACAACTCTGTGAATGTACTAGAAACCATTGAATTGTATATTTTAAATGGGTGAATGTTATGGTATATGAATTATATCTTAACACAGATATATGTGTGTATATATATATATATATATATGATATCTCCATGCAAATGTTTCATTTTATCTAGAGCAATTATGAATAAAAATTCATAAGCTACCCTCCCATTTCCCTATCACCATTGTTCTTTGGTATAAAATGTGTGTATATTAACAAAGTACACAGTAATGGTGGTTGGATGAAAGGAGATGAGGAATGTACGAGTGTTTTGTGGTTACTGTCATAGGTAGTAAAAGCTATGTTTCAGTATTAGACATGAAATCAATAGTATTTTAGATGAGGTTATTTTGAGCCAATATATAGTGAAAGATATATTATTTTTATTTACAGGATCTACAAAGTTTCGGACCAATTTATGTGTAATGACATAGGAGCTTAAAAATAGGAATTTTCTTATAACCAATAAGTTGCATAGGTAGACAGGTTGTTTCATAATATAATCTGAAGTTTTTAATAAACTATATCAAACATGGACTACTAACAGTACACAATTGGTTTCTTATTCCTCTTATAATAGTGCTTTTAGTATTCCACTGAAACATGGCCAGTGAATGTGCAATATTCTTAGTTACCATTCTGAGGTACTCTGTATATTATAGCCTCTCCACTGTCTCTGCTGTTAGCTAGAAAAATGCTGGGAGCAACAGCAGCTACTATCAACAGGGAGCCGTATTAATTATTTGAAATGTGCCTCATAAGAGGAATCAGCAGAGTTTATTGCAAGTCGAATATTACTTGAAACGGGAAGGTTACTCTAACTGTCATCATAATCTATGTATCATTAACTTTCCTTGTTTAGGAAAAGAGATTAACAACCCTGTAAATTGCTATAGTGAATGTGTGAAATATATAACTGCATATTCCTATTGTAGAAAAAGAGTGCTGGATCTTCTAATACCTTCTTTATATAAAGTAGCTTTAGAAATTGAACTGACTGTGTCATTATGCTTTTGTGACTGAAAATCCTACTTGTTTACAGGGTCATCAATATACAAAGTATAGCTACTTTGAGCGTTAGAAAATTCTTCTGTATTTAAGCTAACAATTTTTTAAGCCAGCACCTTGGCCTATAAATCAACTTTAACATTTTTAACTCCTGAGACAGGAAGTGAATTACAAATATGAAGAATGCTTTGTAAGGAATAGAGAATGAATCCATCTACCTGCTTTTTAATTGTGGTTATTGTTTTCCCATCAAATATGGGTAGGAATACTTTTCTATTCAAATGACAGAAGTAAATCTTAAAGGTAAAATATGAATTCATCAGGGTTATAAAGTGATCTAATTAAATATTTCTCAAAGTATTATCTGTACATCGAGTGCCAGTCTGTAGACTGTTTGTTATTATGATCTGAAATAAAGTAAATGCAGAAATTGAGTGTTTAGAAATACTTATAACAAATTAACAGAGTCTCAAATATCTATTTAACAGTACAGAAATAAGGACTTGTATTTTGTATGTCTTTGTTTTTAGTTTTTTCATTTCATTTTTCTTAGAATTCATTTTTATTGTATTTTTAAAATTATCATTCCACGACAAATTTGTACTTTAACAGCAAAAAAAAAAAAATTAAACTCAGTTGGAGAAGCGCTGTTTTAATTGGGTGATGTTTGGATGACACATGTTTTTATGTTTGAGCATATCTGTCTACACTCTACAATGGCTGTTAAACCAGTGTGGAGTGAGATCATGGGACTTCATGAAAACAACGAACAAGTGAAAAGATGTAATTATGATGTCTTCTTAACACTTCTTTCTGAATCCACAGGGCAGGCACATCATGGACAAGTTTCATACATTTCTCCACCAATTCACCTTGACTCTGAGCTGGAAAGACCTTTTGTGAGAGGTAAGTTTTGTTTTTTATCTAAAGAAAAAACAAAAAAAACTCTGTTCATTCTTTCATGAAGGCAAGTAATTAAAAGGCAAAAACTAAAAGGCAAGTAATTAAAGATGGCTGTAAGTATGTATTTTATAATACAGTGCCTGTTTTAAAAAGCAGGGAGGAAAAAATGAAGTGTATTAGTATTATGGAAACAGAGCAAATGTGAAATACTGTTCCAAGAAATCTTTGTAAAGTATAATGCAATGGCTTTAAGAAATAGGGATTTATAGTGATTCAACTAGTGGAGGACTAGTTGAATACCAATTTAGATGTGGATATTATCAGATAATCATTACTTTTTTGTTGGGACTTCCTTCTTCTGCTATTCTATTTTTAATATTAAGATATCTTAATTTAAGTCATGGTGACAGATTTTTTTTCCTTGCAAAGTGATATTTTGTTCTTTTTAAAAGTCATTTTGTATTAATATGATCATCATAATTTCAAACATGAGTTAAAATTATGTAGTTTTAAATTGATGCCACCTCCTTTCATTTTATTTTTAATTTTTATTTTTTTTAGAGACAGGATCTTACTCTGTTGCCCAGGCTGGAGTGCAGTGGCACAATCATAGCTCACTGAAGCCTTGACCTCCTGGGCTTGAGCAGTCCTCCCACCCCACGATCCTAAGTAGCTGGGATGACAGCCACACACATCCATGCCTGGAAATTTAAAAAATTTTCTTTTTGATAGAGACAGGGTCTCACAATGTTGCCCAGGCTGGTCTCAAACTCCTTGCCTCAAGGGATGTTCCCACCTCACCTCCAAAGTGCTAGGATTGTAGGTAAGAGCCACTATGCCTGGCCTAGAGATTTTTTTTTTAAAGAAATAGTGATATAAAATAAACCTTGAAAGGTAACATTTACTATCTCATAATCTAAATACAAAATCAATCTTTTTGCTTTTTAAAAAATATTTATTGATGATATTCAAAATGTTCAAAGCTGATGTTATATAGATGTGTCTTTTAATTTCATAAACACCAAATATTCTAAGGTTAACTTTTGGTTTTAACTTACGCTGTATATTTTCTTATATTTTCAACAGTATTAATTCCTTGATACAGCAAAAGCCATTAGGTCTGACTTTTATGAACATGTTTTCTGTATAGGCTATTTTCTCTCCCATGAGTTTTTGATCTCTTCTTGTCTATCCAGTAAGTTTCTCCCGATGTTTGAAGACTCTGCTTCATCCTCAGTTCTTCTGTTAAGTCTTCCCTCACTGTGTGTTAGCGGGGAGTCATGTGTGTGCCATGGTTGTCTGCACTATCCTTAAGGGTACAAAGTGTCATACTTACTGTTTCTCCCTGAGCCATTAGTCTATGCTTGGCATGTAGTAGAGACTCATTCAGTGATTTCTAAGTGACTGACAGCGAAGGCGACAGCCTAGATTCTGAAGGATGTGTTCGTGTTTTTCAAGAGGAAAAGGGAACAGGGACAGTAAAGGCATCTCATGAAGAGGAAGCAGAATGAGCCAAAACACGGATATGCGAAAGTGTGTGATATTTTTTAAGGAATTGTGCTGGATGCGCAGTAAAATGGCTGCAGTTCTAGAGGAAAAGACTAGAATGATGTAATGAGGCAGATTGTGAAGGATTCTGTATCCCATTCCAAAGAGTTCATATTTTATCCTGGAAAAAAACAGGAAATATTTTTAATTGATTTTTTCCCCCATGTCAGTTTGGTGTTATATCATAACATTATCAGTTGTGGATATGACAAAAATATTTCTGGTGTTAGTCTAGGTGAGAAGCTGATTAGGGAGGAGATTGGCAGGAGGCGGCTGTGTCAGTAGTTCAGATAAAAGATGACAGGGAAATTAGGAGTGTGTCGGTGGCAATGTGAGGGTCTAAGAAACATTTTGAAGAGGTATAACATTTGAACCAAAAGGGACAGAAATGCCCCTGAGGTTTCTATATTGATTGACAAATGCTGCTGTGGTTTGAATATTTGTATCCCTTCTGGAATTCACGTGGAAACTTAATCCTCAATGCGATAGTATTAAGAGATAGGACCTTTAGGAAGTGATTAGGCCATGAGGGCTCTGCCTTCATGAATTGATTAATGACTTCATAAAAGGTTCTGGAGATAACTAGTTAGGCTCTTTATTGTCCTTCTGCCTTCTGCCACGTGAGGTCACAGCAAGAGGCGCCATCTTGGAGGCAGAGAGCAGCCATGACACGGAATCTGCCATGCCCTGTTCTTGGATTTTTCAGCCTCTGGAATTGTGGGAAAATGAATTTCTGTTCTTTATAAATTACCCAGTCTCAGTAATTTTTGTTATAGCAGCACAAATGGATGGAGACAGATATTTATGACATAATCCCTCATCATGAGGAATAGATTTGGATTGAAAATTGATGCATTGTTTTAAACATATTAAGTTTGAGTAGAATGTTGTTCCTACCATCAATGGAGGCCTATGTATGTAACTTAGTGACTTTAATAGAATTCAGTTCTTCAGACCTAATCCCTGTATAATTTAAGAAAGAATACCTTAAGGTCATAAATAGGATGGAATAGCAGTCTATTCCAATACTTAGTGATTTAAAACAAGAAACATTTATTATAGTTCAGGGAGTTGTTTGAGACAGATGTATGCTGACTTAGTTGGGGCTAGATGTTTAGTAGTTATCAGGCTGGTTGGGTTAGCAGGGGAGGGGACTCGCGTTTTTGACAGTTGCCTTGATGTCATCTGGGATGGTGGCCCCGTTTCTCTCTCATCGTTCAGCAGGCTAGCCCAGGCTCATTCCCACGGTGGCAGAAGGGTTTCCAGCTATTAGAAGGCACGTGCTGAAGTTCATGGACTTTTCAAGCTTCTGCTTGTGTCGTGTTTGCTGACATCCCATTAGCCAAAGCAAGTCACATAGCCAGCCCAACTTAGAGGGACAGAAATAGATTTTGTCTCTTGGTGGAGGAGCCACAACCCTAAGGACCACAGATACAGGAAGGAGAGGAATTTCGGCCATTTGAAAACTACTGTAGGTAGGCATATAAAAAAGTAAAATAAATTTAGAATGAAATAAGACCAAAAAGTGACTGATAAAATAGAGGAGTTTTAAAGCTAATAAACTTAAAGTAGGGAGTTCTAGACCTTTCTTATGTTTAGTATCTTCAACTAATATACACAGAAGATCAGAAATATGAACTTCTTAGTGTCTTTATGAGGATTAGAGAGTATAGAATAGAGTCTGGCATCTGGGAGGCACTGGATAAAATGTAGCCATTACTGTGTACTTTTAGGTTCACTGCTATGAGTATGGGAGGGAAATGGGCTTTGGAACCAGACAGACCTGCATGAATGACCTTAGGCAGTTTCTGTCCATCATCTATAGAGCAGGATAATAATGCCACCCCAGCAGGTTTACTAGGATGATTAAGTGAAATAATAAATGTCAAGCTCCCGAAAAACATCTGTTATGTACCAGACCCTGAAGAGTTGGGAGGTAGGTTGGTCTTATTAAAAGCTTGGCTTTTAAATTGCATCACTTTCATAGTGATGGTATTAAACCAGCAAAGAGTGAATGAGTATAATCCAACAGTCATTTCTGCTTGATATCTACCTCATATTGTGTTCTCTACCTTCCAGTGATTGTCCTGATAGATTCTACTTCTTGTATCAGTCTTCTGAATACCCAAAGACTCTCCTAAATTGTTCTTTGATTAATGCAGTTGCAGATATAATCACTAAATCATGTGACACAGCCCTGCAATTTTTAAAACAAGAACATTTAATTAGATGACTAAAGAGGTTTGTATTCTGTTGTTACCAAAATAACATTGCAAAAAATTCTTATACATCTTTCTTAAGACTATCTAATATTTTACTTAATGACAAATATTTGGAAATGGGATAGAGTTGTCATAATAATCTCATTAGTTTGCAATTTCCTTTCAACTGTCACTCCTCATCTTCATTTATGATTTTTATATATACTGTCTGCTATTGTTGATATTTATAAGCAATCAAATTATACATGCAAACTATACATATATCTATCTCTATCTGTTTATCTGTTGACAGAGAAAGAGAGAGGGGTGGAGGAGCAGGAAAAGGAGGAGGAGAGAATTTCTCTTATATGTTATAGATTTTAATTTGAAGTTATATGATATGACAAATGAGGTCCTGTAGATAATTGGAATTGTACCTCCAATAATATTTTTGTGAGATTATGTAGCAATATACTTTGAATTGTCTGTAAACTAACACTATCTAACCATCTTAGCCTTTATTTTTCTATTTTTCTACTGTAATTTTATATGTATTAACAATATGAGAGATATGTCTAGGTGTTTCCCTTGCTATGTTGACTTAAGGCTCTCTATATCTTTTTCTTTCTTTTTCTGGACCAGTTTTACCCATCTACATACATGTTAATGTTTCAGAAATTATTGCTTTATATATTAATTCCTTCTGTATTTTATAGACTTGACTATATTCTTATAGGAAAATCATACTTAATTTTCTATTACTTATCAATCTAACAATACAAAACAAACACATTTAAAATATATCAATATAGTTATTAATAATATTAGCCCAGGAAACTTTTCTATAGAAAATATGAACTCAATCTAACATACAATAATACAGAAGACTGCTTCCATACTTTGCCATTTTATTCTTTTGTCATCTGAAATATCTTGGATTACTTGGTAATTTCTTTTTAAAATAGTGATTGTGCTTTGAGTGTTTGAGAGAATAAAGTAATTATTGGTAACTTTGGAATTATGTTTTAAAACTTTATTTTGAAAATTATATATAAAAAATATATATATATATATATAATCACATTCTCAGTCTCCCTCATTCCTCCCCCACCCCAGCTAAAAATCACTTTGCTTTTAATCCATGTGTCGCCATCCTATCTCCTTTCAATTCCTTTGATTTCTTTCATTTTCACTCTAATTTTTTTCAGTAAAAAATGTATTTTATAATATTAATATGTTTATCATAGTCAGAGT